GTCCCCAGCACAACCCATTTGCTCTCCAAGTGGCTTGCAAACTCCACGGCCGTCTTCTCGCAGTCAGCTATCTTCTTCTCGTTTGTCCCTGTCCGCCCCTCCAGCGTCAGCAGCCGCATGGCCTGGGCCTCTAGCTTCCTCTCCACAGCCTGGACCGCAGCCCACACGGCCACGCGGGTGATCTCCGCCGTCGCGAGTGGCGTGTCCTGGGCTGCAGAAGAGATGTGGAAAGGGGTTTCCTTTTGGGAAACTGGGCTCTGGAGCAAGGGGTCCATGTCGGCCTCGGGAACTGTGGGGGAGAGGGGAAGGGAGTCTTTCTCAGGAACTTCAGGGGAGTGGAGTGAGGCTTCTTGGTGGTGGGTGGAGTGAGAGAGCAGTGAGATTTCTTGTTCAGCAACACATGGGGGTGGGTACCGGGTCTCTTCCTGGGAAGTCAGGGGGCCCTGGAGCTGCGTCCCTTGCTCGGAGGCTGCAGGGTACAGGAGTGAGGGTGCCTTCTTGAGGATGTGCGGCATGCGTCTGGAGGTCTCTTGCTTGGGAGGTAAGGAGCCTTGCCGGGGGACAGCAGGAGTCAAAGAAGGCATTTCTTTGGGGGGAAGAACCCGGGACTGGAACAGGGCTTCTCGGGGGAGTTTAGCAGGGGCCTGCCGCGGCGTTTCTTCTGGCAGGACATTGGGGAATGACCGAGGTGATGAGCGTTGGGTCTCCATGTCCAGCTGTTGGACCTGTTCAAGGAAAGGGCAGGAGTAAAGGCCAGGCTACAGTTAGCAAAATAAATACCAAAGATACACACATTAAGAGGGCGCTGATAGCAATGTATTCTGTGAATATGGATCTTCCTGAAAACCTAGCACTCATTCAGACATCAATTACAAAACCGTTAACAACAAATAGAAGGTTATGCCACCTTCTTCTCCTCATAGAGCCAGTTCCTTCTTCACAATATACTTTTATGGGAACCATCTTAGGAGTTGTACTGTTGGAGAGAAGAAAGGCTACTCAGGCCTATGCACACATACCGCTGCCAATGTCACTCTGGCATAGTCAGTTTTTTACCCTCTGTTCTCAGTGTCCTCATCCATAAAATGTGACACACCCCGCCACCTCACTGAGTTGAGCATTCTTTAATAAAATAAAACCCTGGAAAAACGACAGAGCAGAATCTTGTCAATGCCAGGCATTGTCCCTATGCCCAGACTCCCAGCAAGGTGGGGGGTGATCTCAGGTGGGGGCCAGTGCTGTTAACTGACCTACCTCACGGGTAAGTCATCTGGCCCCCTGCTTCTCCTCGAATTGTCAGCAGTCACGGTACCCATGTTCTTTTCCCCACTTTGTCCAACACACATGATCTTAAGTTCTACCGACTATTTGATAAAAGCTGAATTGTTGACTTATCAGAGTTTTATGGTGTGGACTGGCTTTGACATGATATATGGACACAGCCCATTGGAGGCTGAATGGCCTTGTGGACATTCCAAGCTGACTTCTGCTCTAAGCAAGGACACAGGCAGAGGTATGGCATGTCAACGGCTCCTAGGGAGGTCCCTTGGGCAGAGGTCTCTCCGTGGTCTGGGTTCCTCCCTATGGTTTGTGAGATGGGGAACAAGGAAGAGGCCTGCCAAGGCTAGAAGCAGAGCTGAAGTCTGCCAGTTTTGTTATGCATGTCAAGATTAGAGGGGTTGAGAACCCAAATGCAGACCAATTCCTTTTGGGATTTCAATTAGTATTACCCTTCCTGTTCCCCACCTTGACACGTCCATGTTGAGAGAATTCTTTTGTCATCAGGGATGTGAAGCCAACATCTGCATGATGAGTCCCCCATTTATCTATCCAGACAACCAAAAGCTTTACTGAAACTGAACAGAATCTCTCCTACAATGTTGGTCCATGTCCTCATCAGCTTCCTTCAATGAATCTACCGAAGGCCCATTCCTATGCACCAAATACTGAGGATCTTTAAAGTAACTGAAATCCCCATTTTCTTTGTTTGAAAATTAACATATCTCTTGTGTCCGGTCTGAGATAGAGTATGTACTTAATGGCTGCTGAATGAACGAATAGTATAAACTGTTGAGTTATGAAAAAAATTATTAAGATAAATAAAGTTCCTTCAGTCTTTTATCAAAGGTCATCTAAACCTATTTATACTTCTATTACCATCTTTCTTTTCTCTGTTCATTCATTCACTTATGAATCACTTAACTAAGACACTGTTACATTTTTAAGCCAAGGATGAAAGGCTTAAGACTTTATTAGGACAAGAGAATTCAGAGGTAGCTCTACAGCTAACCAGACAGACGTGACAGCTAGTCAGGAGATGCCTGACAATTACTCTACATTTATGTTCCATGAATTGTGTTAAACATTTTTAAGGATTATCTCACTTACGTAATCTTCATGAAACCCTATGAAACAGGGACTGCTAGAATTGTTATCCATGCTTTGCACATGAAAACCCTGAGGCAGAAGAGCCTAAGTAAGTGCCCAAGGTCACAAAACATGATCTGGCTCCTGGGCCCAGGTCTCAGTTCACTCTGTAGGTCACCTCCAGGCCTTACCAACCAACCGAGGCAGCTGGTTGGTGCTCTGAGTCCTTTTTACCGCTGCCATTCAGAAGCTTGGAGATGAAACAAAGATCTGTGGGAGGTTCTATGATGGGGAGGTGGATGGCCGTTTTGGAAAAGACATTTCCATTCAAAGCTGGGGTCAAGGATCCCTTTGAAAACCTAATGAAAGTTGGGGATTCTCCCCCTCAAAAAAAATGCATATGGGCACACACACAAAATCCTGCAAACATTTTCAAGGGGTTCGCAGACCCCTAAAGCTGAAGGCTGTCAACAGCTAAGCCGCCTCACAACTCTTCCCTCTTCACAGGTGACGGCAAGACTGGAAGGCCCTCTGGGATGGGAACCTCAGGCACAGGGAAAGTGACTAGCAAAATGCAACACAATAGACACATTATGGCCCCATCCTCAGAGGGGATTAGGGCATTTGCCTACAAGTAGTAGGAAGGAGGGAAAATCCCCTGGGGGTCAAGTTAGTCTCCCTGAGTAATTCAGGGGTTTAACCAAAACAATGAAAACAAGCCCAGTACAGTAAATAAATCCAGCAGAGTAAGACATCTTTACCAACTAGCCTCATCAGAGTTCAAAGGAAAATACCATTTCTTTGCTTTCTATTATTACTGTCTCTCTCCATTTCTGGATTAGGAAGACTATGGTGGGATGAGGGGGCCACAGGAGCATGTCCCCTTCCCCCCCCCGCCCCCAAAATAAAGCCCCTTGCTATCTTTCCATAATGGCTTTGTATTATCTTCAGCAGAGAGAGGTAGCCCAAGAGAGGAATGTAAATATCATCTCTGAGACTAATAAGCTGTATTCTCCAACTGTAGGGGAGACAGAATTCTTCTGAACTGTACTGCATAGGATTTCACCGTCCCTCCCTACCCCACGTCTCCTAAGTGAATGGGGTCTTTAGGATTCATGCCATGTGAGCAGGAAAACACATAGCCATCCGTGTCTGGTTTATAAAGAAAGCTGTGCTGGTGTCCAGTATGACCCAGTGGGATTCACCCAGAATTATATAGGGCCCTGCAGACCTACACCTAGAAGACATATTTTTAAATCTTCATGTATGTTATTTTACAAACACTTTTATTATTATTTAAGAACCGAGAGGCTCTTTAGAAAGCCATCTGTCCTGACCCCTTCCTGTGCACAACGGGGAACGGAGGCTCAGAGGCACAGACACCCAATGCAGCAACCCCCCCCCCCCCCCCAGAACCGCTGCTGCACCTCTAAGAGCAGGTCTAACGGGGAGGTTTTCAGACACATTGTGTATGTGTGTGTGACTGGCCACCGCAGGAGTCACACCAGCCCCCCAAACCCTTAGGGGGCTCGCTCCCCAGACCCCATCCATCTAGACACCCCAACTTTGCCCTGGGGCCTCCCATACGCAGGGGCTGGAGACCCAGACGCCGAGCCCGAGGGTCCCAACACCTCCACCTCCTCCCCCTCCCCCGCCCCGACCGCCCGTGACCGAGCCGCTCCGCCGGGCGCTAGCAGCCCCCCCGGCCCGCCGCCGCCCTCCCCCACCCCGACGGGCCGCGTCCGCCCGGCGCGGGGCCCAGGCCCGGCCCCCGGGGAGGCCGCCCGCCGCCAGGGCCGCCCCCACCCCGTCCAGGCCCGCGGCCCGGAAGGCGGGCGTTTCTGGGGGCGCGGGCGCCGGGCCGCGGGGACCCGCTACGTGACCTTGGGGCGGGGAGGGCCGGTCGCCGCCGGGTGCCCGCGCCTCATGCCTCCGCTCCGCGAAATGGGGAGAGCCGCGTCCGCGCCGCGCGAGGCGCCGGGCCGAGCTCTGCGGAAAACGCGCGGCGGCGGCGGCCACCCCGACGGACGCGGCGCCGGCCCCGCAGGGAGCGAAGCGCGCCGCCCCGCGCCCACCGGCGGCCCGCGCGTGTGCGTGCCCGGCCCGGCGCGGCCCGCAGCCTCCCGGACGGCGGCCGGCGCCTCGGCCCCGCGCCGTCCCGCAGCCCCCCCGCCCCGCGCAGGGGCGCGCGCCCGCCCTGCCCCCCGCCCCCCGCAACGTCGCAGCGTCCCCGGCCCTTACCGAGCCCCCCGGCCGGGCCGCCGAGCCCGGGGCGCGCAGGCCGTCCCCGGGGGCCCGGGTCCGCGTGTCCGCGCGCGCGCGGGCCGCCCTCACCGCCTCGGCCATGGCCCTGCGCGGTCCGGCCCGCCGCCGCCGCCGCCGCCGCCGCCGCCGCGCGGCCCCACGCAGGCCGGCCCGGCCTCGCCTCGGGCGCCGCCCGCCCGCCCGCCCGGCCTCCCTCCCCCGCCCGGGCTCGCGCGGCCGTCGGGCCCGGCCTGCTCCTCAGGGCGGGCGGGCGGGCGGGGACGGAGCGGCCGAGCCCGGCGGCGGCGGCGGCGGCGGCGTCGGAGCGGGGCGCGCGGCGGGGCGGGCGGCCCGGCGGGCGGCGTCCGGCCTCGAGCTGGGCCCGGCCCTCAGCACCGGCCCCCGAGCGGCCGCGGCGGCGACCCCGGCTGCGGCCCCGGCCCGGGCTGCGAGCTGCGCTGCCGTCCCGGCGCCGCTTCAGCAGGGGAGCTGCACCGCAGCTGCCATGTTGATACAAACTGCATCCTGGGAGGCATGTCCCTCTCAGGCCGTTTAAAGAGAAACACTCCGAGGCTCGTCGGAGGCTGCCGGAACCCAGACAGCTCCATCTACAGCCGGTAGGAGCGAACAGTGTCGAGCGAGCCAGCCGGGCGGCGGCGGACACGCCCTGAGCCCCCGGGCCGGGCCGGCCCGTCGTGCACAGCCCGGGCCTCCCCCCCGCGGGCCGCTCACCTGGGGTCCGCCGGCCCGCACCCTGCCCCGGCGACACCGGGCGGCGGGGACGCAGAGGAGGAGAGAGCAGCGCGCAGCCCCGGCGACGACGTGGTGGGGTCTGGAGGCGGCTTGATTGGCTCCGACAGCCTTCCCCGCGCCGGATCCCCTGCTCCTCTCAAACCCAGAACCCTTTCAAACCTGCGCTCACAAAGGGATCAGAGAAACCCGTCACACCAGAGGCAGCCCCGGTGCATGTGACCAGCTCGGTGCAGCCCGGGTTCCTGGGGGACTCCGGGGCAGCGGGCTGTGGGCTCCAGGGGGCAGCCAGGGGGTTGGGGGTGCTTCGGCGAAATGCCCCGGTGTTGTTTGTGACCTGAAAAGGACAGCATTCCGAGAATCACAGAGTGATGGGGCCAGCAGGGGCCGGAGCCGTCCTGTGGGAGGAAACTGAGGCCGAGTGGGCAGGGACTTGTTTGCCAGGAGCTGCAGTCTAGGTCCCCCTGGGTGCATGAGCAGTGATCCCCCCCCCCCCAAACCATGGGACATCTTGGAGATGGCGGCTCCTTTACCTGGACAGGGTCACCCACATATTTTCCAAGGGAGCAAGCACTGGAGTTGAAATGAAGAAAAAAAAGAAAAAGCATGGGCAGGCCTTGTGGTGACAAGTGATGAGAATGCAGCTGGAGCTAACTTAAAGGGGAGGGGGTAGTATGTGTCGGCCTAAGGGGACCCACCCCAGGGAGGGTCAGGTGTGTGGAGCCTGCAGAACAGGCAACGGGAGCAGGACTCTGTGTGCTACGGGCTCAGATCTCTCTTTAAACATGGACACTTACGGGTAGAGAGAAGGCCAGTACCATCCAGCCCTTTCCCTTCCCTTCCCAGAGATCAGACTTAGCACTTGTCTCGCTGCGTTCCCTACCCTCTGTCAATAAACAGTGCATTCCATGAATGTTGGTGTTTTACAGTTTTGTGTGAATGAAGAAACTCAGTCTACATCTTGTTGCAATTTGCTTCCCCCCCCCCCCTTACTTTGTCATGTTTCTGAGACACATTGTGTTCAAACAAGCATATCCGGTTCATTCATGTTAACCACTATATAGTATTCCATTGAGTAAGTCAACTCCAGTTTACTTTCCAAGCCCCTAGGGGGAATGAGCACAGACCTGCTGCTGGGAACGTCTGCCTGCGTGTGTCTGTGCACCGGGAGGTGGTTGGTCTGGGAGGGACACCACCCAGCACCCTGGGTGACAGGAGCACCTCCACCTTCCTGAGGCTCACCACACAGCGCCCCAGAAAGCTCCTGCCTGGTGACAGTCCCACCAGCCCTGGGTGGGGTCCTGTTGTCACATCTTTGCCAACACTCTCTGATTATGGCCCCAGAAGCCTTGCCAGCACTATGATTGTGAAATGGCAGCCCGTGACTTTCTATATTAGTATTTCCCTAAGAAATACTAATCATTAAGAGAGCTGAAGATCTTTTCACAGGTAGGCATTCGGTTTCTTCCCCTGAATTTCCTCTTCATATTCTTTGTCAATATTTCTGTTGTGAAGTCTTTCTTATAGGTTTATAGGTGTTTTTTGTTTTGTTTTTGTTAATCCTCACTTGAGGATATTTTTGCATTGATTTTTAGAGAGAGTGGAAGAAATGGGGGTTTGTGTGAGAGAGAAACATTGATGTGAGAGAGACACATCGATTGGTTGTTTTCCACACGTGCCCCAACTGGAGCCGGGGATCAAACCTGCAACCTGTCCTTGACTGGGAATTGAATCCAAGATCCTTTGGTGTGCAAGCTGATGCTCTAACCACTTGACCACATAGGCCAGGGCGATTTATAGGTATTTTTATTTTTATTGATTTCAAAGAGGAAGAGAAACAAAACATCAGTGATGACAGAGAATCATTGATTGGCTGTCTTCTGCACAGTCAAGGATGGGGATTGAGCCTAAAACCTGGGCATGTGCCCGGATCAGGAATCAAACCGTCACCTCCTGGTTCATAGGTTGACGCTCAACCACTGAGCCACATCGTCTGGGCTACAGGTGTTTTGTTTTGTTTTTTAATACATTTTGGATATTGCCGAAACCGGTTTGGTCAGTGGATAGAGCGTCGGCTGCGGACTGAAAGATCACAGGTTCGATTCTGGTCAAGGGCATGTCCCTTGGTTGCGGGCACATTCCCAGTGGGGAGCGTCCAGGAGGCAGCTGATAGATGTTTCTCTCTCATTGATGTTTCTAACTCTCTATCCCTCTCTCTTCCTCTCTCTAAAAAAAAAATCAATAAAATATATTAAAAAATAAAATTATAAAAATTTTGGATATTAATCTTATCATCAAATCCTTAATATGATTTCTGATGTGATTGCATTTAACTCTACCATCTTACTAGTAGTTTTCCTGTGTTCCAGATATTCATAATTTCTCTCCCCTTTTTTGTCTGCTCTTAAATTACTTTATTTAGGTTTGTTTTTTTTAATCTACACAAATTTTATTAGAACTAAAAAGTGGATCTATCAGCTTCAGGATACAAAGTCAATATACATTATACACTGGCAAAGAAAAAGTAACAAATAAAATGTTAAAACATTACTTATAATATTATAGCATCACCAAAATATTAAATAACTAGATATTAATATAACGAAATATGTGCAAAGGTCTTTATATTGAAAACCGAAAATATTACAAGAATATAAAACTATACAGCTGAAACCAGTTTGGCTCAGTGGACAGAGCGTCGGCCTGCAGACTGAAAGGTCTCAGGTTCGATTCTGGTCAAGGGCATGTACCTTGGTTGCAGGCACATCCCCAGTAGGAGTTGTGCAGGAAGTAGCTGATCGATGATTCTCTTTCATTGATGTTTCTTTTTCTTTTTCTTTTTTTTTTTTTTTAATATATTTTATTGATTTTGAACAGAGAGGAAGGGAGAGAGATAGTTAGAAACATCGATGAGAGAGAGTCATCAATCAGCTGCCTCCTGCATACCCCCCACCGGGGATATGCCCGCAACCAAGGTACATGCCCTTGACCGGAATCGAACCCGGGACCCTTCAGTCCCCAAGCTGATGCTCTATCCATTGAGCCAAACCGGTTTTGGCTCATTGATGTTTCTAACTCTCTATCCCTCTCTCTTCCTCTCTGTAAAGAATCAATAAAATATATTTTTTAAATTTTATTTAAAAAATTAAAAATTAAAAGATAAATAAAACTATACAAATAGGATAAATAAGTACCATCATTATAAATTGGGAGACTCAATTTGTTAAGATGTCTATTTTTCCTAAATTGATGGTAAATTCAGCCCAATTTCAATAAAAAAATCTAATGACTTTTTTAAAATTTAAATTCTTAATAGTTTAAAGTATTCCATATGTCTCCTTTTTGCCCCATTGACCTCTTACTGGCCGTTCCCACCCTCCAGCACATGTCCTCACTCCCTGCTGTCTGTTCATGAGTTATGCTCATACCAGTATGCATGCATACAAGTCCTTTGGTTTATCTCTTACTCCCCTCCCAACCCTCTGCCTTCCCTCTGAAGTTAGGCATTCTGTTCGATGCTTCTGTGTCTCTAGATCTATGTTTGTTCATCAGTTTATGTTGTTCATTATGTTTCAAAAATGAGTGAGATCATGTGATATTTATATTTCTCTGACTGGCTTATTCCCTTAGCATAATGCTCTCTAGGTCCATCCATGCTGTGGCAAATGGTAAGAGTTTCCTTCTTTTTTATAGCAACATAGTATTCCATTGTGTAGATATACTACAGTTTTTTATTCCACTCATCTGCTGATGGGCACTTAGGCTGTTTCCAAATCTTAGCTACTGTAAATTGTGCTGCTATGAACATCGCAGTACATATGTCCTTTCTGATTGGTGTTTCCGTTTTCTTGGGATGCATTTCTAGGAGTGGGATTACTGGGTCAAATGGGAGTTTTATTTTTAATTTATTTAGATTTTCATATGTATTTTATTTAATTTTACATGCAATAAACATTAATATTGCAAGAAAAATTATTTAAAATACTAGTATAGCAGAAACCGGTTTGGCTCAGTGGTAGAGCATTGGTCTGCGGACTGAAAGGTCCCGGGTTCGATTCCGGTCAAGAGCATGTACCTTGGTTGTGGGCACATCCCTGGTATGGGGTGTGCAGGAGGCAACTGGTCGATGTTTCTCTCTCATCTACGTTTCTAGCTCTCTATCTCTCTCCCTTCCTCTCTGTAAAAAATAAATAAATAAATAAATAAATAAATAAATAAAATATTAGTATATTAAGTTACATGCAATAAATATTTTAAGAAAAAGGATTTTAACTATAATAATACCAAATTGTATTAACATAGTATAATATCACAAAAGTTGTAGGAAATGTTAAAAATTTGCAAATAACAGGATTACTTTTATTATATCCTAAACTATTTTTTTTCTCTGACTCTATTTTGGTTCATCAGTTTATGTTGTTCATTATATTCCAAAATGAATGAGATCATGTGATATTTATCTTTCTCTGAATGGCTTATTTCGCTTAGCATAATGTTCTCCAGGCCCATCTATGATGTTGCAAATGGTACGAGTTCCTTCTTTTTGTTTCTTTTCTTTTTTTTTATTAAGGTATTATATGTGTACATATCTTACCTTTGCCCCCCCCCCCACTTCCATACATGCCCTCCCTCCCCAGAGTTTTGCATCCATTGGTTATGCTTATATGCATGCATACAAGTCCTTCGGTTGATCTCTTATCTCCCCCACCTGTCCCTAATCTTCCCGTTGTAATTTGACAGTCTGTTTGATGCTTTACTGCCTCTGTATCTATCTGTTTGTTCATCAGTTTATAATGTTCTTTATTGTCCATAAATGAGTGAGATCATGTGGTATTTTTCTTTCATTGACTGGCTTATT